CAACAATGCTCAATAGGAAACGTACTCATTACCTTGCTCATGTAGCTGTAACCCCTCTGTACAGCATTTTTACAATAAAAAAGTACAAAAAAAGAAAAATATAATGCTTGCAATTAAATTTTCACTGGGCAGGTTTAAGACCAGATGAAGAAAAAGGAGGAGAGGTAGAAAGAGGTGGAAGAAGAGGAGGAGGAGGGGAAGACTGATACATGAACTACAAAGCCTTAGCAATCTCTGGATGATCCCAAACAACTCCATGCCTGAAACAGGGCTAAACAGAATTTCCAGATTTGATGAAAAGTACTGACTCTATATCCAAGAAGTTCAGCAAACCTCAAGCTAGACAAGAGAAACTCAACTAAGATAAAAATAATAATAATTGGGGCTGGAAAGGTGGCTCAGTGGTAGAGTGCTTGTCTTGCATGCATGAGGCCCTGGGTTCGATTTCTCAGCACCACATAAGCAGAATCACCCAGAAGTGGCGCTGAAAGTGTTAGCCTTGAGCTGAAGAGCTGAGGGACAGCTCCCAGGCCCGGAGTTCAGGGCCCACAATGGACAAAAATAAAAAAAAAAATAATAATAATTGCATTAGCAATAACAGTAATAAAAAAGAAAATCTAAGTAGAACAGTAAGAAGAAACATTCAAGGGGAAAAGGTTAGGAGATACTGACTCTTCATGCTGGAGGTACGGCTAAGTGATAGAGCACTGGCCTGGTGGGTCTGAATTCAAACACCACTGAGGGGCAAAAAAAGACATCTGACTTCTCATCAAAACAGAATAAGTACAAAGAACAAGATAACATCTGTAAAAGGCCAAAACCAGTTGTGCTCTTAGAGAATTCTATATTTAGACACAGTAACCTTCATAACTGAAAAAAGAATAAGAAACATTTTCAGAAAAACAGAAACAGAAATTTTTGCCAGCAGAACTGCATGACAAGAAATACTAAAGTCTTCAGTTGAAGGAAAATATAATGACAGATCAATCTGAATATGCATAAAGGAATGAAGAACATCAAAGGCATAGGTATGCGGATAAATATATTGGACATTCCATTCTCTTTTTAATTTATTTGAAAGACAGTTAATTTAAAGTATGTACTTTCAGTCTGACATGTGAAGTATAACACATGACAACAGTAAGAAAATAAAATGTTATTGTAGGTTTCTTAAACTTTATATAAAGTCATATAATGTTATTACATCATTATAAAAATAGATCTACTAAGCCCTAGGACAACCCCAAAACACATACACATACATATGCACACACACACACACACACACACATGCTTACATAGCTATATACATACCTACATACATATAATATCTATGTGTAAACATATGTAATGGGCTAATAGAGGAGATAAAATGAGGAAAAATACTTAAAAGAAAACCTCAACTAATCTTATAAAAATAGAAAGGGAAAGAAATAAGAATATATAGAATAATTTGAAAACAAATTGCAAGACTGTAGACTTATTCTGACATATACTAATAATTACATTAAATGTAAATGGGTTAAACATACCAATTAAGAAATAGATTGTCAAACTGGATTTGAAAAGCTAGATACAACTCTGCTGTCAATAAAAAATATAAATATTAATAAGTAGACAACTTGAGCATAAAACTTAAAAAGATGATAGACACACATGCAAATATTAGTCCTAAGAAAACAGAAATGCCTATATTAGTGCAAAAGAAAAGATACTAATTACTAAAAATATTTTTTAGCAAAAGGTACTCAATTTCTTATGAAGATATTAACAATCTTCCATGTTTAAACTGCAATAAATACATTCAAAAGCAATTTGGGAATTTCTTTTGAAATTAAACACACTAGGCTGGAAAAGTAGTTCAATAGTGAAGTGTCTGCTAAGCTTGAGTGAAACCGTGGATTGGGTCTCTACCATCAAAAATGATATAACCACATACTTTCCATATGAATTAGCAAATTCCACTCCTAGTTATTTACCTCCCCCTTCCCTTCCTCTCCCCCCAAAAGTACACTCAAAGGCCAGAACTTGAATGTGCACTACAGTTCTAATAAACAACAGAACCTAGGCCTCAATGAAGAGCACCCAATTGTTCATCAACAAGTAAATAGATTTTTTTTCAACTGTAGAATGTTATTTGGCAATTAAAGGAACCACTTCTACAAAAACATTATGGTTCTCAAAAACATGCTGACTAGAAATAATCATATTAGGAAAGCTTATTGTTTAGGGTATACAGAGTTATAAAACTGGTTTTAAAGAAAAAACTAAACTCTAGTGATATAAATTGGATCTCACATGCCTGACTGGGAAGGTACTGAAAGACATTTTAGTCTTGGATATGTTCTATATTTTGATTGGAGTGAGTCACAAGCAAATACTTTTGTCAAAACTCACCAAGTAGACTTTCAAATGGGGAGAGATTTCTATAAAATTTAAAAAGGAGTGTTTAAAGAAGAGGAATAAAACAGTGTAAAGTGAGCTAAAATAAGGATAAGTGAAAGTTAAGATAGAATTTTTCAGTACAAGGAAAATATTAGTGACTTTAGATAATATTTGCAAAACTTTTAAGTTATTGAAATCATAAACTGACGTCAAATTGCAACTTTTTCGTACAACCACTTAAAAGATACTAACAATTTTTTTTTTTTTTTTTGTCTCCTGGGCGCTGTGCCTCAGCTCTTCAGCTCAAGGCTACTGCTCTACCACATGAGTCACAGCGCCACTTCCGGGCTTTTCTGTTTATGTGGTGCTGAGGAATCGAACCCAGGGCCTCATGCATGCAAGACAAGCACTCTACCACTGAGACACCTTCCCAGCCCCTAACAATTTTTTAAAGATTAAAAAAAAAAAACTTTTGAAAAGATCATTGGAATCCAGGATGCAAGAAAATTCAGTCACATTTATCTACAAGGAGAAATTCAAGGAAGTACAGACTTTTCTACTTCAGTTAGTGCGTCTCAAACTATAAATGTGCGTAGGGCAGCTGGGGGTCTGGTCCAGGTGCAGGCTCTGAGGTGGGAAATTTGACGTAGGATCGCTGATTCTGTGCTAGGTTACTGCCGACGACTCATCTACTACACTCTCTGTTGCAAGGACACAGGATACTTTTCCGAGGCACGGATGATATCAAGTGTCAGTTTGGTCTAAGACCAGAAGAAATCCATTCCGCCCATGGGTTCAAAACTACTTACATGTGAAACCATCCCCCCCACACACAACACACACCCTTCTTTTGTGAAAGTAAACAGAAAAGGTGTTGTGACACGATGGAAAATGACAGTGACTTCAAGTCTCTGAGTTCAAGTCCTAGCCCTTCTTTCCGACCACTGCCAGGGAACAGTTCTGCTTTTCCTTCCCTGGGACGTGGCTGACAATAGAAGACACATCTGAAATCAGACATAAAAAGGAAAGAAAACAAGGAAGACCCAAGACGTCCAGCGTAGAGTTTAGGAAAGGGGTGGGACCTGAAAATAAGAGGTGGGGACTTGGGAGATCATTCCCCTGGGGGTGGGCAGGGACCGTGCCATATTTTAGGGAGGGGGGAGCTTCATTAAGAAACAATTTGCTTGGTGTATGGGGGCGGGGGAAGGAATCCTGTGCTTAAAATTATAACAAAATCCAGAACGCAGAAAGGACGAACTTTTCGCGCCTGCGCCCCTGACATCTAGGTGGGCGTTCAGTGGCCGCGTCGTGGCTGAGTCTCCCGACGTCCGGTCGTGGCGGCCCCCCGCGCGTCTGGGTGCCTTTCTCCTTCCCACCCGTCACTTCCCGGCCTCCCTCCCCGGGCAGCCCCCGCCCCGGGGCCGTAGTTTCCACTACTTAGGCGGGGCGGGGGGGGGGGGCGGAAGGGGGATGCTGGGAAGGGATGAGAAGGGTAAACAAAGGAGGAGGCTGCAATGGGGGGTTAGAAACGGACGGGTCTATTCTCGCGCCCGCGGGAGGGGGGCTCAGAGGAACGACGTTCCGGAGGACGGGACCGCGGGCTCCCCGGACGGCTTTAGTTCTGTGTGGCCGGTCGGAGCCGCGGGATCCGGGTCGGCTCGGAGCTGCGGGGCGAGCGCCGCCCTCGGCGCCGGGAGCCGCGGTCTCCTCCTCCCGCTCCG